CCGGGCCTGGCCGCACCAGCCCCGGCTGCTCCCCCGGGCCTGGCCGCTCCCAGCCTGGCAGCCGCTGCTCCGGGCCTGGCCGCACCAGCCCCGCCTGCTCCCCCGGGCCTGGCCGCTCCCAGCCTGGCAGCCGCTGCTCCGGGCCTGGCCGCACCAGCCCCGCCTGCTCCCCCGGGCCTGGCCGCTCCCAGCCTGGCAGCCGCTGCTCCGGGCCTGGCCGCGCCCGACCCGCCTGCTCCCCCGGGCCTGGCCGCTCCAAGCCTGGCAGCCGCTGCTCCGGGCCTGGCCGCGCCCGACCCGCCTGCTCCCCCGGGCCTGGCCGCTCCCAGCCTGGCAGCCGCTGCTCCGGGCCTGGCCGCGCCCGACCCGCCTGCTCCCCCGGGCCTGGCCGCTCCCAGTCTGGCAGCCGCTGCTCCGGGCCTGGCCGCGCCAGCCCCGCCTGCTCCCCCGGGCCTGGCCGCTCCCAGTCTGGCAGCCGCTGCTCCGGGCCTGGCCGCTCCCAGCCTGGCAACCGCTGCTCCGGGCCTGGCCGCACCCGACCCGCCTGCTCCCCCGGGCCTGGCCGCTCCCAGCCTGGCAGCCGCTGCTCCGGGCCTGGCCGCACCAGCCCCGCCTGCTCCCCCGGGCCTGGCCGCTCCCAGCCTGGCAGCCGCTGCTCCGGGCCTGGCCGCACCCGACCCGCCTGCTCCCCCGGGCCTGGCCGCTCCCAGCCTGGCAGCCGCTGCTCCGGGCCTGGCCGCACCAGCCCCGCCTGCTCCCCCGGGCCTGGCCGCTCCCAGCCTGGCAGCCGCTGCTCCGGGCCTGGCCGCACCCGACCCGCCTGCTCCCCCGGGCCTGGCCGCTCCCAGCCTGGCAGCCGCTGCTCCGGGCCTGGCCGCACCAGCCCCGCCTGCTCCCCCGGGCCTGGCCGCTCCCAGCCTGGCAGCCGCTGCTCCGGGCCTGGCCGCACCCGACCCGCCTGCTCCCCCTGGCCTGGCCGCTCCCAGCCTGGCAGCCGCTGCTCCGGGCCTGGCCGCACCCGACCCGACTACTCCCCCGGCCTGGCCGCTCCCAGCCTGGCAGCTGCTGCTCCGGGCCTGGCCGCACCTGACCCGGTTGCTCTGGGCCCGGCTGCCCCGGGCCCGGCCGCTCCGAGCCTGGCCACTCCAGACCTGGATGCTCTGGGCTTGGCTACTGCTGTTCTGGGTCTGGCTGCTCCCACCCCGGCTGTTCTGGGCTCGGCTTCTTCGGGCCCGGCCACTCCGGGTCTGGGTGTTCCTGGACTGGCCACCCTGGGCTTGTCCACCTCCGCCTCATGCCTGGCTGCCACTGCCGCAGGTCTGGCTACTCCAGTGCTGGCTGTTGATGCTCTAGTTCTGGCTGCTGTTGTTCTGGGGCCTGTCCGTTGCTGCTCCGGGTCTGGCTGCCATTGCCTTGTGCCTGGCCACTCTAGGCCTGGCCGTCGCTGTTCCAACATTCTGTCCTTTTTTTTTCTTTTTAAAACGCATTTATGTTGCAATGTTGGCTGGTGAGTTGAGTTCTGACTTAGTCTTTGATTTTTCAAGATCTTCTTTGTATTCTTTCTTAAGTAATTTTACTATTTTTTGCTCTCACTTGATTTCTTCACATTGAGAACTTCTTTGGTTTCTTCCTCCTTGTCCTGGGAGCTCAGCAGGTTGGCCTGTGGCACCCCTTTGTTCTCCGCGGGCTCCTGTGCTGCTTCAGCCTGTTGCTGGGACGGCGCCGCCCATGAAGCAGCCCCCGGCCTTGGCTCCATTGCCGGAGCTCAGTGGTCAAAGGCTCAGGGGCACCCACGCCCCTAGGGGTCCCGTGGCCCGCCTCCTTGCTGGTGCCCGGTTGGCTGGAGTCCGTCAGGGGCTTCTGCTCCCCTGCGCGTTCCCCCAGCCTAGAGCTTTTTTTTTCTCCTTCCCGCTAGGGAAGTCCAGCATCAGAGTCAACAGACTGTCCTCTGCGCGCAGTTTGCGCAAGTCCCGGGGGCCCGGCCTTTCGCTGCTCTCCCCGGACTCCACCTCACAGCCCCGTCTCCCTCTGCTTGAACCTGGGTCCCCAGGGATTGGCCCAGAACTGGGGTTCGGAGCAGTCCGGACTGAGGCTCAGCGCCGCCGGAGGCCTTGTTTCTTCCGGCTAGGGCAACCCAGCATCAGAGTCAACATTCAGTCCTCTGCGCGCATTGCGCGCGACTCCCGGGGCCCTGTCTTTCGCCGTTTTCCGCCTCACTGCCCAGTCTCCTCCCGCCGGAGCCTGGGTCCCCAGGGTCTGGCCCATAACTGGGGCTCAGCGCTGCCGGTTCGGGGGTTCAGCCCAGGCTGGAGGTTTTATTTCCTTCCTGCTAGGGAAGGAAAGGCGGCTCCCTGCCCTCTCCTCCTCTCCGGCTGCGACCTCTCCGTGTGCGCGTGCGGGCGGGCAGGCGCGCGCAGCATGTCTCCGTACCTTAGGCTTTTTTTCAGCTCCTCTGATTTTCTTTCTGGTTTTCTCTTTCCTTCTTGTTGTAGAAATTTCAGTCAGTCGACTACCTGTAGCTCTGGGCAATGTCCACTCTACATTTTAGTTGTATTCCATTGAAATTGTTGTGTGCTGCCGCGGCTAGATGTCTACCCGAGCAGCCATCTTGGATCCTCCTCCTGTTTCCTTATCAAATATTTTAGGTGTTATATGGAGGATTTGGGAGAGGGGGAAGTAAAAGAGGCAAATAGACCAGAAAACTATTCTTCTGAACTCTGTACAAGCTCTGGATCTATAACCTGGGGCCACTTCTCCCTAGTGGTCCCTTAGGTTTGCTAGCCCAAAAGTCCTAACGAAAGGGCCAGGAAATAGAGCGGGCTTGAATTCTGACCCTTTTGGATTCTCTGTAATCAAAGGAAGGTAATTCCAGTTCGGGTTCTCCGACACTCACTCCTTCCTTCTACTGACCTAAATGAGTCAAGCCCTCCTGATTGAGTGAATGCAGCAATACACATCGACTAGACACTCTGGGTTACCTCGGTCTGGACAGCAGTGTCATGTGAATTATCATGATTATTAGGGTTATTGTGGAACATGTTTGCTTAGACACATAGAACTTGGTAAAATGATAATACCACCTTAGATCTATTGAAATTCACTATATTTTAGTTTCATCTGTCAAACTTGGGTTACTCAAAGGAGATGCCAATTTTAAAATGTTAATGAGCAATTACAAATGCATTGCTGGTTGTCTTTGGTTTTTCTTTTTTTTTAAACCCTCACCTGAGGATTTTTTCCCCCTCCATTGATTTTCACAGAGAGAAAAAGGGAGGCAGAGCAGGAAGTGGGGGAAGAGAGAGAGACAATGCAAGAGACAATGATGTGAGACACTGATTGGTTGCCTCCTGCACATGCCCCAACTGGGGTTGGGAATTAAACCTGCATCCAAGGTACATGCTCTTGATCAGGAATCGAACCCAAGACTCTTCAGTCCTTGGGCTGACGCTCTAACTACTGAGCAAAACTGGCCAGAGTGAAAAACTGTATCTTAATATGGTAGAATTCTGTGGGATTTAGGTAATTAAATTTTTTATATTGTTGAACAAAAAAGGCAATTTAATGACAAACCCATATAAATCAATACTATATACTATAATTTTTAATAATCATAAAAGCACCATTATATAAGACATTTAAAATAATACTTCACAGAACATTAGCGAGAAGCTGTAGTCAACAAGAAATAAAGCACACATCCTACATGTTCTTACCTATTTTGGGTCTCACACAAAATCTGATTCCTCTATTCAGATTTAATTTGGATTCACAAATTCAGTATTGGTTTGAGGGATACTCCAGAGTTGTGGTAGAACTTCATTGTTTTTTTTGTTTTTTGTTTTTTTTAATATATTTTATTGATTTTTTACAGAGGGATAGAGAGTTAGAAACATCGATGAGAGAGAGTCATCGATCAGCTGCCTCCTGCACACCCTCTACTGGGGATGTGTCCGCAACCAGGGTGCATGCCCTTGACCGGAACCGAACCTGGGACTTTTTAGTCCGCAGGCCAACACTCTATTCACTGAGCCAAACCAGTTTCGGCAAACGTCATTGTCTTGATGTCATAAAACACCAACATCGCTCACCTTATCCCTCTGTGACCTGCATCCTGGGATGCTTAATTTCTGTACTCCCAAACATTGGGGCTGCCCACTAATTACACTTATAAGCAAAATTTTAAAAGTTGCTTAATGATTCATCTTAAAAATTGATGTTTTATAAAGAAGGCTTGTTTTATTTATACTATTAGCACATCAGCCAAAAGTTATTCAGATTTAATACTGTTCAATAGAGTGGTAATTAAAACACAAAACTATAAATAGTGACTTCAAATAATGACACTGATTTTCCTCAGTAGCTGGTATAGGTATTAAGAAGGATTTGACATTTTTAACAATGACATGTCATTAGAATAAAGGAATAATTTCCCAAAGTGTCTACTTTGAAGGAAAGTATTCCTTTAGATGTATACTTTTTAGTATATTCATTTTAAAGGAAAATCAGTATCATCATTACAGCCATATATTTCACATTGTTGGATACATAGATTTAAAAAGTAGCAATGGTACTAAAATTTTTCCTGCCTCTCATCTTTTCTCCCATCTTTCCAACTTTCCTGATGGAGATGAATTCCTGAAAAAATAGATTACTTCAGAGAAAGTGGTATTGAAGCTTATATTTACTGTAAACACTTTATGAACCTATGTGACTAATTGATTACATTCTTGGGTATGTTTCTCAGGTTTCATCTTCAAATTAATTGTTTCCCTAGAGAGAGTGACTTGGTCTAACCAAACCTGCAGAACTCCCAGCATCAGGCCATGCATAGAGCATCACTAACAAATGTCTGATGAAGATGAATATGATGACTTCTGCTCAAAAACATTCAGGTTCAACTATTTACACTGGAATTAGGGCTCTGACTAAAACTGAACAAAGAATAAATACCAAAACTGAAGTAAAACTGATGAGGAAAACTCTGCCTGAAGGACCAGCCTCTAATGTCCACTGTGACAACCCCCCCTCCGGGTAAAGGCGCTCTCCTGTGCAAAGCGCCCGGCGGCCCTCCGGTGCGGAAACTCCGCGCAGGTGCTCCAGCATCCCGCCCCAGTGGAAGGCGATGCTCCGCTCCTGTCCTGGCTTCTGTTCACTCTGCTTGGCTTTTCTGCGCGAAGCACACTATGAAAGGTGACACCGTGCTCATATCGTTCTTTCATTCGGTGTATTTTTTCTCTTGGAACTCCATGAATGTTTCTTCTACATGGGAAAACATGCAAACATTTAGGTAAGGCCATATATCCAAGTGAATTACTCGAATTTTACAAGTCCTGTAGTATTACACACATATGCACTCTATCCTCAGGGTTTAACTGTGACAAAAGCATAACTTGTTATGCAGCCCTCTTCCAGGCTCCACTCCTGTTTTTCCATGCTGCCCTGCACACCTAACCCACCCTGTGCCTTAGAGAGCTAATGCATCAGAAATGCTTTGCTTCTGGAAATCTCGATTCTGTGCTTCAAGACACAAAGGAACACCAGGAGATCTTTTTATGGTATATTTGCTTGTTAAGCATGAATATATCAATTTACGTGAGTCCGTCCTCAACACTTCTAAATGCTTATTAAAACAATCTTAAATCCTAGTGGGCGTGAGAATCAACTGGGGATATAAGTCACAATGTAATCCCAGAGATTCCAATTATGGAAAGGGAGCCAGAAACTAGGATTTTTAATATCCATCTCTTGTGGTTGCAGTTCACAAACCCACTTTGGAAACACTGTATCTCCTTTTAACCATAAGATAAACTAGCCTTATTCCTAAAAAGGAAATTCTGTTTTCACTGGTTACTTAAATCATTGACATTATCAAATAACACAGACAATATCACAACCCATGCATTCAATCAACAAGTTAGTATTATTTGGACATTTATTGCTTATATATTAGAAGTAGCATCTGGACCACAAATGAACCACAGACTTTGCAGCATCTAAAGATATTTATTTAGCCTAAATGCAAAAACACCACTGACATGTATAATTCCATGCAGAAGAAAGTGCTTTTAAATGTTCATTAATGAAGAAGCATTTTAGCCAAATGTTAAATGTATTCTTTTGAAGGACTCAGTTCAAGCCAAGATTTTAGCATTTAGCATTATATTAGAAAACTGACTCAAAACTAAAGTCTTCACATTAATAACTTACGAGTTATCAGTTTCTAAGAATTACCATTTTTGGCCTGAAAACTACCATGTCCATTTCCAGCCTGAAAAGATTCTTTTGTTCGGTCTGAAATACCTGAAAACAGCAGGACATATAATGAGGAGCTAGGAAAACACAGAAATACCTGGCTAACTCTTGAACGTTGAATTTCCAGCGAGTCTCGGGTTCTCGGAATATTACTTCATAGTTATTTTCAAGTGCCTAATTTTCCAAAAGTACATAAAACATTGAACACACGGCATGTATGCATGGGAATGTTCATACTGGCATTAAACATTCACTGCATATCTTTTATAAACTTTCTGTCCATGAGCAAACACCTCAATGGCTTCTCAGAGTCCCTTATAGGATTATCATAGATTTATGTCTGTCAAATGCCTTGTCCTATTCCTCATGACTTGGTTAGGAAATGGTGGTGCCACAGAAGCAGAGCTTATGAAATAAAAGTGATTTCCCCATCCTTTACATACTCTTCCTTCCAAAAGCAGCTCAGTGTGGCTCAGTACACTGTTCCCATTTCCTTGTTAGAAAACTTTACCAAAAAAAGAGAAAACTTACAGCTTACATATAAACACCCAAATATCCTTTGAATTCATAAATTCACTGTTTTTATCTCAAATTGAACTCTTACTAATAAAAGTTGAATGAAAAGAGCTAAGTAAAAAGATTTCCTATTCATTCTTGAGATGAACACTTCTAATTAGGAAAGGAGTCAAGCATTCAATATGGAAAATAATTAATTTCTGGGTCTTATTAATAGCTATGGGTGGCTGAAAAAAGATTATACATATCCAGAAAGTAAAAAATAACCTGAGCCCTAGCCGGTTTGGCTCAGTAGATAGAGCATCGGCCTGCAAACTGAAAGGTCCCAGGTTCGGTTCCAGTCAAGGACACATGCCCAGGTTGAGGGCTCGATTCCCAGTGAGGGGGCTTGCAGGAGGCAATGATCAATGATTCTCTCTCATCCTTGATGTTTCTATCTCTTCTCCCTCTTCCTTTCTCTCTGAAATCAAAATAATATATATATTTTTTAAAGTAACGTGACTTCCCTTAAGTGACTTTCAGTTCTTGTGGTTTTGAGTTGTGCCTTAATTAACTTCCCTCTTCGCATCCCTGTTCATTTCTCTCCCAAGTGGACTCTTGATCCATGAACTGAAGTGACCACAACGATAATGTTCATTCCCTCCTGCTTTCACCAAAGTCCCACCCTTGGGGCCTACATGAAGTTGATGAGAATATAGTTAGAAAAAAACATACCTGTATATAAGCTATTTTACCCAAAATGTGCAAGAGACCTAAAAAACTGCCTTGAGCCCAGTTTGGGAGCTATTCATGTGACAAAAGCAGATCCTTCAGCTGTCTTCTTCCTGCCCCTGATTGTGTCTGGATCTTTTCTCCTTCCTACACCCAATAGGGAATGAAAAGTCACTAGTATAAGAGATGAAACATGTCTGAAAACGAGTCAGGCTCTTTAAAATTAAAGAAAAATGTGCACACAGTATTCATCCTATTGTTTTTTCCTATTCTGACAAGAGTTGAATGGTTATATTTGCATGCTAGTGTCTTAATAGGATTATAGTGTTAATCTTAAATCTGTTTTTAAATTAAAGACTTTATTGCCCTGAAACTCCCCTGCAGCAACAATATCTAGTACTGAACTCTCCGGCTAGTGAAAAGCAGACTGTACTAATAAAATCCATAACTCTGTTAATCCAATTTCTCTGCAAATTCCGTGGATACTCCACATGGACCTTCCCTTAGGAAAACAAACAAGACAGAAAAGCTATCAAAAATTCTGATCCAGGACTATTTACAACTTGTACCCTTAAGGTGATAATAGCATGCCAGCAAATTTGAACTATTGAACAGCAGAGGAACATAAAAATAACTGCTTTACCTGCTCTGTGAGACACTTAATACATAAGAGATCGTGGAAGATCAGAAAATGAGGAAAGAACAAAAGTTTCAGCTTTCTCATAAAACGTCCATAACTGAAAATTCAGAATGATACTTCTTCCTACCATGACTGCATAGGGCTTCATTTCCCAGGCGTGGAGGTTGGTATTATCAATAATAATGGGGGTTATGCCATTCCTCATTGCTTTTCTTGCTGCAACACAATGTTATACAACAGTGAACAACATGCAACAGTCAGACAGGAAGGGCGAGCATACCCATATCTTGCCATTTTATTACAGCATGTCCTCATCACACAGTTAATGCCGCCTATTTCAGGACCCATTATCAATCATTTTCCTGGAATCTAGGAAGGTTTGGCCTTCTTTTTGGGGGGAGGGGAGGGTGGCAATTAACTGCGTCATTCTGCAGCAGCTACACTCTAAGTGCACGAGAGGATTTCTCAGGAGTTTAAAAAAGAATTTGTCACCTCTTTTCTGGTTCCACTCATGAGCCTCCTCTAGGAAGTCTGGATTGAACTCATAGGTGCCATCTTCCCTGAAGAAAAAGTCGTCCGTGCTGAAAATCAGGGCCCTGGGAAAGTCGTGTTGCAATTGTCTAGAAAGTGAGGAAGAAGAGACTGATGACCGCGCATTGTTGTAACAGAAAATCATCTCCCGTTTCTAACATTTAGCAATTTGTAATTATGAGACTACCAGGTTTTGAGTTGTTGAAGTTTAATTTAAAAACAGAGATGCTTATTATCTTTAGAAGGCCCTGCTCCTACCAAAGCAGCAGGAGTGGGCTAAGTGCCTAACTCTTGACACTGAGCAGTGCTGTTGCTGCTACGGGCTCCTGCAGCAGCCGGGACTGACTGGAGAAAACGAGGCTGACAGTGGGATGACAATCTTTCCTTATGGGCCCCAGTTCCTTCTGCTGTTCTTCTGGGATGTACCAGTGCCCTTCTCTTCTCCCCTAAACTCTCACCTGTCCCGGTCCCATCTCCTGGAACTCTGTTCTCTCTAAGGACCCATCTCAGAAACTAATTCTTGCAAAATATGAAATGTAGATAAAAGTGATGGGTGTGTACTATCCCTACTAGGTAGCATTTTTACATTTTTTTAAAACATGTTGTTACTATAGGCCCGGTGCATGGAAATGCATGCACTGGAGGGGAAGTCCCTCAGCCCGGCCCGCCTCCTCTCAGTCTGGGAGGCGACCTGGCGATCAGGGGAAGGCAATGCGCCCATGACACCTCTGTGCCACTGTCAGCAGCGCAAGCTTAAGCCAGGCGTGGTTACCTGAGTCTTGGGTGGCCCTGGGTGGCTGGGCAGCTGCCATCTGAGGCTTGCCTGAGCCTCGGGCCAGCCCTGGGTGGCTGGGGGGCTGCAGGGCCTAGGTGCCGCCATCTTGTGGCTATGGGTGCTGCCATCTTTGAGGACGTGGCAGTCAATTAGCATATTCCCTCTTTCTTGGCTGTGAGTGCTGCCATATTTGAGGGCAGGGCAGTCAGTTAGCATACGCCCTCCCTACTGGCTGTGGGCACTGCCATCTTTGCAATGGCATGAGGGTCATTTTTTATTTTATTTTTTTATTTTGGGATTAAAGTACTTTTTTTTTTTAATCAATCTTTATTGTTCATATTATTACAAAGGTTCCTCATTTCTTCCCCCTTCCACCAGGTTCCCACCCCACCCTCCGCCCTCTGCCCACCCCCCATTGTCCTCATCTATAGGTGCACAGTTTATGTTCAGTCTCTTCCTCCCTCCCTTTCCCCGAGAACAGTCAGTCTCCCCCTGCCTGAGCCTGGGTCCCCAGGGTCTGGCCTAGCACTGGGGTTCAGAGCAGTCAAAACTGGGGCCCAGCACAGCCAGAGCTCCTGTTTCCTTCCCTCCAGGGCATTCCAGCATCAGAGTTATCATTCCTTCCCTTGAGCGCAATGTGCGAGACTCCGGGGGCTCGGCCTTTCGCCGCTCTCCCAGGACTCCACCTCACAGCCCCATCTCCCCCTGCCCGAGCCTGGATCCCGAGGGATTGGCCTAGAACTGGGGTTCAGAGCAGTCGGGATTGGGGCTCAGCACCGCCGGAGGTTTTGTTTCTTTCCGCCAGGGCAATACAGCATCAGAGTCAACATTCCGTCCTCTGGGCGCAATGTGTGCGACTCTGGGGGCTCTGCTTTTCGCCACTCCCCTGAGATTCCGCCTCACAGCCCCGTCACCCCCTGCCCGAGCCTGGGTCCCCAGAGTCTGGCCCATAACTGGGGCTCAGCGCTGCCGGTTCTGGGGTTCAGCCCAGGCCTGGGCTTTTATTTCCTTCCTGCTAGGGAACGCCAGGCAGGCACCCAGCCTTCTCCTCCTCTCCGGCTGCGTCCTCTCTGGTCGTGCGTGCGTGTGCGCAGCATATCTCCGTACCTTAGGATTTTTCAGCTCCTCTGATTTTCCTTCTGGTTTTCTCTTTCCTTCTTGTTGTAGAATTTTCAGTCAGTCGACTACCTGTAGCTCTGGGCAATGTCCACTCTACATTTTAGTTGTATTCCATTGAAATTGTTTTGTGCTGCTGCGGTTAGATGTCTACCTGAGCAGCCATCTTGGATCCTCCCCCTGTTTTTATATGAGGGGGTCAATTATTATATTCTCTCTTTATTAGATAGGACTGATTTCAGAGAGGAAGGGAAAGGGGGAGAGAGATAGAAACATCAATGATGAAAGTTAATCATTGATTGACTACCTCCTGCCCACCCCACAGGGGATCAGTCCACTCCCCTCCCATATCGCCGACTCTACTACAATAAACAGCTATTATTGTTCATCAGGTTTTTCAATCTCCTTTTTTTGTTGTTGTTTTTTAATTAATAAACTTTTACACTTCTAAGAATAAATTTTTAAATCTAATAATTTTAAACCTTGTTTTTTTTCTGCCCTGGGAATTGAGAGCAAACTTATTAACATGTAAACTTGCCCATAGGCTATCAAAAGGTGTAGCCATTCAAGTGTAAATGGACACACTGTTTAAACATAGCTGCTGGTTGGAATTGGATTACCTGTTCTGGGTGGGAAGGGCTTGTCATTCCCTTTCTCCATTAAAATTAAGGTGTTAGCTTTAAAACCTCTTTTTGGCAAGAGACCTTAAACTTTCAGAACTTTAAATTTTTCAGATAGTAAATCAGTTACTTAGCATTTTCTCAAATCAATAATACCTCCACATGCCCAAGGATACACTTCACACAAAAGACATTTCCAAATAGGTCAACTAGCCTCATCCAGGCCCCAACCAAGGCACTCACAGATCAACACCCCAACCCTATACTAACTCAACACATCCAGATCTAAGCCTTCATCACTTGATTCAGCAGACCCTCAAGTTCTCCCAAAAGTTTCCAGCCGTGTCTGAGAGGCAGCCTTGGGGCGGGGGCAGGTGAGGAGCGAGCTGTTCCGGGCCTGGTTGCTCCGGGTGTGGCCTCTGTTGCTCTGGTCCGTTCCACAACCAGCTGCTCCAGGTCTGGCCACTGCCACTCCCAACCTGGCCCCTCCCAGCCTGGCAGCTGCTGCTCCGGGCCTGGCTGCTCCCGACCCGGCTGCTCTGGGCCTGGCCACTCCGGGCCCGGCTGCTCCGGGTCTGGCAGCTTCCCGACCTGGCTACTCCCGACCTGGGCCCCAGTTTTGACTGCTCTGAACCCCAGTTCTAGGCCAGATCTTGGGGACCCAGGCTCAGGCAGGGGGAGACGGGCCTGTGAATCCCAGGGGAACGGCGAAAAGCGGAGCCCCCAGAGTTGCGCACATTGCGCGCAGAGGACAGTCTGTTGACTCTGATGCTGAACTCCCCTATTGGGAAGGAGAAAAAAAGCTCCAGACTGGAGGAATGCAATGAGGAGCAGGAGCCCCTGCCGGACACCGGCCAGCCAGGCGCCAGCAAGGAGCCGGGCGACGGGACCTCCAGGGGGGGGTGCCCCTGGGCCTTCGACCGCTGAGTGCGGGCCATGGAGCCGAGGCCGGGGTCTGCTTCCTGGGCGGCGCCGACCCTGGCAACAGGCTGAAGCAGCGCAGGAGCCCGCGGAGAACAAAGGGGTGCCACAGGCCAACCTGCTGAGCTCCCAGAACAAGGAGGAATAAACCAAAGAAGTTTTCAATGTGAAGAAATCAAGTGAGAGCAAAAGATAGTAAAATTACTTAAGAAAGAATACAAAGAAGTTCTTGAAAAATTGAAGACTAAGTCAGAACTCAACTCAGCAGCCAACATTGCAACATAAATGCGTTTTAAAAAAAAAAAAAGGACAGAATGTTGGAACGGTGGTGGCCAGGCCTAGAGTGGCCAGGCACAAGGCAGTGGCTGCCGGGCCTGGAGCAGCAACAGCCAGACCTCAAAGCAGCAGCAGCCAGAACCAGAGCAGCAACAGCCAGGCCTGGAGCAGCCAGACCTGGGGCAGTGGCAGCCAGGCCTGAGGCAGAGGCGGCCAAGCCCAGGGTGGCCAGTCCAGGAACATCCAGGCCCAGAACGGCTGGGCCCGGAGAAGCTGGGCTCAGAGCAGCTGGGTCGGGAGCAGCCAGGCCCAGAGCAGCAGCAACCATGCTTGGAACAGCCAGGTCAGGAGCGGCCAGGCCCAAACAGCCAGGTCCAGAGCAGCTGGGTCAGGAGCAGCCAGGCTCAGAGCAGCACCAACCAAGCCTGGAGCAGCCAGTTCGGGAGCTGCCAGGCCCGGAACGGCCGGGCCCAGAGCAGCTGGACCCAGAGCAACCGGGTCGGGAGTAGCCAGGCCCGGAGCAGCAGCTGCCAGGCCGGGAACGGCCAGGCCCGCAGTGGCCGGGCCTGGGGCAGCCGGGCCCAGAGCAGCCGGGTCGGGAGCAGCCAGGCCCAGAACAGTAGCAGCCAGGCCGGGAGCGGCCGGGCCCAGAGCAGCCGGGTCGGGAGCAGCCAGGCCCAGAGCAGCACCAACCAAGCCCAGAGCACCCTGGGCATGTGCCTGACTGGGAATCCAACTATGACACTCAACCACTGAGCCATGCAGGCTGGGCCGTATTTACATTTTAATAGTGACCCAAACCAAATGAAAACACAATAGGAGAAGGAAAGAGGTAGGCCCAACCTTCCCCAAATCTTCCTAAATCTGTCATTCACTCTAAATATGAAAATATGAGAAAATAAATAAAGAAAACTACCATGGAGTCTCCCGTTTAAAAAAAAAAAAAAAACCGACAAAATAAGCACATTAAGTTATGCACAAAATAACAAGATGTTTTCACTTAAAATACTTATTTAGACTTTCTTAGGGGAGGAGACATATTATGAGAGGTAGTAAGTGGATAAACCCGAGCTTCCTCATCTGTAAAAATCGAGGTTAATGACACCTATCTTGCTTGGTGATGACAATCTATATAATAAAAGCCTAAGCGACCATTACGGCAGAACAACCAGTCGTTATGACGCACACTGACCACCAAGAGGCAGACACTCAACACAAGAGCTGCCCCTAGCTGTCAGTGCCCTCCCACAGGGGAGTGTTGCTTAGCCAGAAGCCAGGCTCACAGATGGCGAGCTCAGCGGCAATGGCAAGAGCCTCTTCCCCCTCCACAGCAGCGCTATGGAGCAGCGAGCCAAGTGGTAAGGAGCAGTGAGTAGGTGGG